TTTTATCTTCAAGTTCTGAGATTCTGTCTTCTGCTTGTTCTATTCTGCTGAAGTGGCCTTCCACTGTGTTTTATATTTTTGTTTCATTCTTTTTTCTGAGGTTTTCCATATCATAGATCACTTCCTCTTTAATATTGTCTATTTTTGTCTTTAATTTATTTATCTTCCTATTAATGTGTTCTCTGTTTCACTTTGATGTTTATTTAGGTCTCCTATAATTTATTTGTTTCTGTGTCTTCTCGTATTCTTTATTTTTGGTGTCTTGAAATGTCTTGAGTGCCTCTTCTACATTTTGGTTAACCATGTCTAGTAACATCTCCATGAAATTCTCAGTGATTACTTGTAGGGTATCTTCTTTAAGGTTGTTCTTGTGGACATCATTTTGGGTTCCTTGGCATCATTTATCTTTGTTTTATTGCAGTCTGGAACTGGGTATCCATTTTCTTCATTTCCCTCTGAATCCTGTATTTAATTATTTTTGAAGGGGGGAATGGTTTCCATCCCTTTTTCTTCTTCCCATAATTCCTGTTGGTATTGTGTAACTGTTCTTGATAGGCTAGTTGGTGGTTTCAGTTACCTATTTTCTTTCCCTTGGTTAAATTTTGTTTTGTGGCTGTATTGGGTTTTTAGATAATTGTTTGTGTGTTGTTTCTGTTCCTGGTTTGGGTGTAGTTTAGTATTAACTAATTCACAGTGATAAAACAAAACAACAATAACAAAAAACCCTAAAAACAAAACAAAATAAACAAAAAAGCCCAAATAAATAAACAGGGAGAGATGAGCAAACAAACAAGAAACAAACAAACAAACAAAAACTCCAGGTTCAGGATCAATAGAATTTCAGTCTTAGTTTAAGCTCTGGTGTTACTTCTCCAGTATCCATTCCTGGCGTTGGTATTTAATCAGAAGCTCTGTCTTAGTCTTGCCAGGTGGTTGGCCTGTGGTTAGTGTTTTTTGTTTTTCTTCTTTCAGCAGCTGCTGCTTGGGCAGCTTGTCCTGCACTGAGGTGTGGCAGCTCTGCGGTCTACTAGTTGTCCTGCTTTGGAGTTGACTTATCTCTGTGCTTGTTTACTGGGGGCTTGTGTATTTGCCTTGCCTACTTTCCCTGGGGCAAAGGCAAGGTCACTGATCCCTCAGACGGCTGCTGATGTGTTGTGATGGTTTGCTGTTTGTTCCTCAATGCTGTGGAGCCATCTGACTGTGGGTGCCCAGCAACTGGGCCATGTAGTCTGCGGCCTTCGCTCTTTCCCTGCTTCAGGCAGTGGCCTATCATCTGCCCACTGTCAGTCCTCCTGCCCTTTGTTTACTGATGGTTCACTGGAGTTGGGCTCCTTGCCCCTCCCCTCTTCTCTGGTGTGCTTTCAGCAACCCCCACTCCCTCTTCTGTGCACTAGTTTTCAGTTCCATTGTTTATTGTTCAGTTTTCTTTTTTTTTTCTTGCAGGGGGGATCAGTCTGTCTAGGGGAGTTGTGCTGTTTTATCCCAGGAGTGGCTGAGGGATATTATCTGACACTTGGTGATCACCTGTTTGGTCTGCCAAAGGTCTCCCAAGCATGTTTGGAACTGGCAGTGACAGCTTGGGGGTGGCAGCCTGCCTGTTCTCTCAGTGTATTGTGGTGTGGAGAAGCCTTCCATGGGCAAGGGGTTCAGGGTGCCAAAGTTTCAACTCTCTCTGGTGCTTCACCTCTGCCAAGTGTGGCTCCAGCATCTCAGCCAGGTCCCTGATTCGTGGAGCTCACACTGTCTGCATCTGTGCCCCAGTCACCATCTTGGATCCTCCCAGCAATAAAGCTTTTAAGTTCCCTTTAGACTAGGACATCATTCATGCCAAATATAGAGATGACCCAATGTTTGAAACTGAAATAATTTTAAATCCCTAATGACTTAAACACCAATGATGTTAATATGGGTAGAGGATCCATGAATACAAAGTGAGTGGTAAATTAGATTGGGTTGTTGTAAATAGACCCCCAAGGATTGCTCCCTAGTAAGGAGGGGCATAATAGATTTAGAAAAATCTATTTTTTCTCAAAAAGGACTCTTAACATGAGAGTGAAGCCACAGTCACAGTTCACAGTTATGAGGCTAGAAGCTGGTGTTATCCCTCATTGAACTCCACTTATAACACTGGGCTCTACAGCAACACCCTAAGTGAAGCATTTCTATTTTGCTTACTACTTGTAAAAATTATTTTTGGGCATGTTTCCCCTTCAGTTGAAATGCAGTGTTAAACACTGATACAGCTCAATAGTTATCAAAGCATTACTTACCAATGTTTGGCGACTCTCCATCTCCCAGGGACCTAGCAGGATCACACTTCCTAGCTTTCATAGGTTAAGGTGTCATGAAATTAATTTGAATCAATGAAATGTGAACAGAAGCACATATGTACATTCTGTTCCAAGCATGGAATTGCTGCAATGACAATTCACCCAGAGTTCCCTATCTCTGTGACACACTGAGATGGCTACTCTATCAGCCTAAGTCCCTGAGTCACTAACATGAGCAGAGACCCTGGCACTCCATTGAACTTCTGTGGATATGTATATGAAAAGAGTAATAAATAAACTTGTATGTTTAATCATTGAAATTTGGGGGTGATTTATTTGTTTCACCATTACCTAGCCTGTCTGATAGTAACTGTGAGTATAATAAATGACAGTATGCCCTTAGAAGCTGATTTCTCAAATTGCATCCCAGAATTTTTTTTTATTTTCTCTGTACATTACTGAGTAGATGGGAATTGCTACTCCCTTGAACATGGCCTATAGTCATTAACATACTTAGGGGAAAAGAGAAAAACAAATTTAAATTAGAAGTAAGAAGTGATTATATCTAGTTCTTAAATATATTCTGAATTGCATCCATCACTTCATAAAGAAAGTGATTAGGGGACATTAAAGTTACAATGACAAAATAAATCTTTGTATATAGAATGTACCTGCAAGGACTAAAAAAAATATAAATATAAAGATGGTGACTACACTCCCAAGAAAATGTTATAGTTGAGTAATTTTATGGAACCTTGGAAATGTTTATTATACTTAAAAGCATTTCAAAGTTAATTGAGTCTGCTTTATGTTTTTTGATTACCAAATCATTCTCATTATATTTTGCTCCAAGTGCTTGTCAGAGCTGCATTTTAAAGTGCTCCAGGAAATTACTAATGATGCAAGCATCCAAAAATGAAGTTTCCATTCCAATGTCTAAAGCTGTGACATAACTTAAATCTAAATTGTATGTTGTAATAAGTACTATTTAGTTTCCCATCCTCCCCAAAATCTATTCATCTCCTTCTCAAAGGCCTGTATTTCAGGAGAAGCCAGTCTTAGACTCAACCATAGACCCAAGAAATGAACCCAAATTATTTTAAGTTAGTTACAAGGGTCCCATTTCCCTTCCATGTGGTTTAGACATGTGTGTATGTGTGTGTGTGATGGAAGTCGGCTGAATGAGAGGTGAGGGGCATCTTCTGGAGGACTTCTGAGAATGGTTTTCTCATTCTTCAAGAGTTCCCAAAAAGAAATGGTCTCTTCCTCTGTATTTTTTCCATGTCTGCATGTGATGCCTAAAAGAGCATCAAGCATCTTACCTTAGCTCCATGAGATTTCCATGGTCTAGGTCAACATGGGAGGAGACTTCAGCAGAACCAAAGAAAAGAACTGGGCACTTGATGAATTCACAGGTTCCCTGAATTGACCAACTCTGGACTGCCCAGGCTTCTTGTCTTATTGCTATAAAATAATAAATTTTCTCACATGTCTAAACTATTTGGAGTTGGATTTTTCTACTACTTGTAGTTAATGGTATCCTGCTTCATAAATGACTTGTATTCTTGAGGTTTGTATGTTCATAATGTTGATAGATTAACAACACAAATTTTGTTCTTAAAATGACTAAAACTTGTGTAAAAATATGGAGGATTCCTGTCTTAGTTGAAGATACTTATCTTGCATCAAACAAAGGGAAGATAAATCCTCAGAAATTTAACCAAGTAGGTCAAAAATATAAATTTATAATGATCTCTTCATTGTTTCCTAGAAAGTCAATTACCTCTGAAGCTTCCCAAGCAACAAATAATTAAGTATAGGTTACTGAGTACTCACTATCATGTTTTATGCTCTGAGGAGGAAAACCCAAAATTTAGTAAGCCACTACTAGATGACAGAGTCAACACAGAAGTATTTTATTTAGCCCTCACAGCAACTCTAAGAGACATAAATGTTATATTTAAAGATTAGAAAACTGACGATCAGAGACCAGAGTTCCTTGCCAAATGTTATGCATCGTGTAAAGGGTAGAGATAGAATTCAAACATGTCTAGTCTAACTCCAAAACTCTGGTCTGACTATACAGTATAAATGTTATATTTATTTATTTTATAAATGTGTTGTGCTTATTGTAATATTCAAAAAGATGGCTACAAATTATTAGGCACTTTTCCCATAGAGATGTGGATTCTAATTTCCCTCCTCCTTGAATCTTGGTGGGCTTATGACAGCTTTGACTAGTATGGTGTGGCAAAAGTGATACTGTGACTCAAAAACTGTGGAAAAAAGACTGTGGAGCTTCTCCTTAATCCCAGAAACACTTGTTCTTGGTGCCCTGAATTACCATGGTAAAAGTCTAGGGACCCTGAAACCACCATACTTAGTATGGAAGACAAAGACACACGAAGAAACCCCAGGGAGAGGCTCTGGCTAACACTCACAACTTAGTCAGGTTTTGACATATCATAGTCCAAAAACCAGATATGTGAAGGAAGATTTCAGATGCTTCCAGACACCATCCTGCAACAGCACAATATGCATTCTTCTCAGAAGAACGTATGACCACAACACAAAAAAAGTAGAGCTCATCAAAAAATAAACAGCAGAAAACACCCAAACACCTGGAGAATGAACACCACATTGCTCCATGATCAGTGGGTCACTGAAGAACTAAGGGAGGATATCAAAAAGTTACTGGAACTTAATGAAAATGAAAATACAACCTATCAGATGCTAGGTGGAAGAGCGCAGTGAGGAGCGCCCCGCACTCCCCTCGGCCGCAGGGTGAAGCTGGGGTCCCGGGGACCGGCTGCAGCCTCTGCTCTGCTGACACCGAGGCCTCGCTGCAGCTGCCCAGCGTCCGGCCCAGCCGCGAAGCATGGACGAACCCCTCCGCCCCACCACGATGACCTGATGGTGGCGGTGACCTCTCGGAGCCTGGACCCTGCGGGCCGCCGTGTCTCCCAGCCCAACCCTGCTGGGCCTTGGCCAAGCTCCGGTCAGGCCACCGAGGACGTGGGCCTCTGGGTGGTGAGAAGAATGGCGGCCGCCCGAGCACCGCGGGGGCCGGGAGAAGGCGATCTGCGCTGCACTAAGGCTCACCGTCCCTTTAGGCCATCCAGCCTATTTTGGGGTCCTCCTCATTGTTGGGGCCCTGGCTCCCAGGAGGAGGAAATGCCCAGAGTAAAGCTAGTGTGTGTAGTGAGGAAGAGTATACATGGCCCCATGTCGTTCCACTTTGCTGTGCAGATAGTATAAAGGACAAAGGAGTTCTGATGTCCATCTAGTCTTTCTAGATGTTAGAGAGGTTGCCAGTGTATGACAAAAGTAGAGTTAGGAAACTAACAGATTTTGTACATTTTGTGCTAAAAAGGTCTTTCGAAAATCTTAGCATCGCAGCCCACTGGGTTGGTGGAGAAAGGTTCTCGGCCATAATGTATTTTGAAGACACTTTGAAATGATCAGTTGTTAGGTGTTTGCAGTCATTGAGGACTGCTGTGTATCTAGTGGACAAATTGAGTCCTTACTTGAAGCGTTTAGTCTATCTAGATGTTTAGAAGTGCCCAATGTATGTTAAATGTAGAGGTAGTAAAATAACACTTTGTAAATAGCCTTTTTGCAAAAGTTCATATGAAAATACTGTCTTTGGGGAATGGGATTGTGAAACCACCTCCAGCAGTTCTGTAGGTGCTGTCTTGTTCAGTGGGTCTGGAGGAGATGAGAGGGAAGCACTTGCAAAAGGGAGTATGCTAGTGTGCTCATACTTGGACATTTTCAGATGCCATTTTTTTCTGTTTTGTATATTTTGTTTTGCAGTGTATATAATGGTCAAATAAGTCCAAATTTTGCAACATCTAGTCTCTAGATGTTAAAGAGGTTGCCAGTGTATGACAAAGTAGTTAGTAAAATTAGCACATTTTGTACACTTTGTGTTGAAATTCATAGGAAGGCTTGTCCTCTATAAATGACTTTTAGATATGAACTTTTCAGCTGTATCTAAGCATTACATATTATGCCTATACTTGTCCACTGGTTTGAAGGCAGAGAGAAGGAAGTGAGGAGGGAATGGTTCAAGGCCAAAATGGTCACATTGAGAAGATATCTCAGATTATAATCATTGCTGTCCGTGCAATTTTATTTACCAGTGCTGTGTGCATAACAGACAAGTTCAAATAAGAAATATCTAGTCCTAGATATTTAGAATTGCTTGATGTATTTAAAAGTAATAATATATGTAAATAGCTTTTAAAAACTTGGGAAAAACTGTGTTTGGAAATAGAACTGTAAAACCACCTCTGAACAATGTACTGTCTGGACTTGTTTATTGGGTTGTGGCAGGTGGGAAGGAAGAAACTACAAAAACGTATTTTGTTAGTGTGTATTAGAGAATTTCAGAATATCCATTACCCTATATGCTGTGTATTTCATTTAACTCTGCTGTACTGTATATATTGTGTATATACTGGACAAATGAGTCCTAATTATATAGTATCTAGTCTCTAGATATTAAAGAGGCTGCCAATGTAAAAAAGAAGACACTATGTGACACAGCAAAGGCAGTGCTAAGGGGAATGTTTATAGGCACGAATGCATATATTAAAAACACAGAAAGATCTCAAATAAATGATCTAATGCTGCATCTCAAACTCCTAGAAAAACAAGAACAAGCTAAACCCAAATTAGCAGAAGGAGAGAAATAATAAAAATAAAGGCCAAAATCAATGAAATAACAAAAATACAAAGAATCAACAAAACAAAAATTTGGCTCTTTGAAAAGATAAATAAGATTGAAAAACCCCTACCAACTCTGACTAAAATGAAAAGGGAAAGGACCCAAATTAATAAAATTAAGAAATGCAAAAGGAGAGATAACAACAAACTCCAAGAAAATCCAGGGAATCATTAAGGACTACTTTGAAAAACTATATTCAAATAAGTTGAAAAATATAAAAGAAATGGACAAATTTCTAGACACATGTGACCATCTAAAATTGAATTTTATCCAAGAGGATAAGAATCACCTAAATAGATCTATAACAAGCAATGAAATTAAAGCAGCAATAAAGGGTCTCCCAAAAAAGAAAAGTCCAGAATCTGATAGATTCACTACTGAATTCTACCAGACCTTTGAAGAAGAACTAATCCCAGTACTCCTCCAACTTTTCCATAAAATAGAAAAGGAAGGAACACTGTCAAACTCATTCTATGAAGTGGGTATTACACTCATCCCAAAATCAGACAAGGATACAACAAAAAGAGAACTATAGGCCAAACTCATTCTATGAAGTGGGTATTACACTCATCCCAAAATCAGACAAGGATACAACAAAAAGAGAACTATAGGCCAATCTCTTTAATGAACATACAAAACTACTCAATAAAATACAAGCAAACCAAATTCAACAACAAATCAGAAAGATCATATACCATGATCGAGTTCATTTCAGCCCAAGGATACAGAGATGGTTCAATATTTACAAATCATTAAATGTAATACAGTACATTAACAGAAGCAAAGACAAAAACCACATGATAATCTCATTAGATGCAGAAAAAGCCTTCAACAAAATTCATCTTTTCATGACAAACGGAGGGGAAAAGGAACCCTCATACACTGCTGGTGGGAATGTAAGCTAGTACAACCACTATTGAAAACAGTGTGGAGGCTCCTCACCTAAAAATAGAACTGCCATATGATCCAGCAATACCACTCCTGGGGATATACTTGAAAGAATGTAAGTCAGGCTACAGTAAAGACACCTGAAAATCCATATTTGTTGCAGCATTATTCTATTGGGAACAGCCAAGATGCCTCACAAATGATGAATGTATTAAGAAAATGTGGAATTTACATACAATGGTTTATTCAGCCATAAAGAAGAATGAAATTTTGTCATTTGCAAGTAAATGGTTGGAACTGGAGAACATCATCTTAAGTAAAGTTAGCCAGGTTCAGAAAAAACAAAGACATGCATGTCCTCTCATATGTGGAATATAGACCTAATACAAATACAAGCAATATTATGAAAAACAGATCACACTAATGGGAGGTCACATTTGAGAGAGGGAATATCTCTGAGAAGGTGAATATGGTTGATGAACTTCTTATACAAAAATAAATATAGAATTTTTAAACCTGTTGAAATCATAAGAAGGAGACTAAGGTGGAAAGGAGAAAAATAGAAGGGATGAACTAATAGGTTATAACACATATGTACATGGAAATGATAGTCATAATAAACAAAAAATGTCATTTTTTTGTACAAAACCAGAGAACAGGAAGGCAAAACAGGTCCTGTTGAGGAGTTGGTACCAGTGGAGGTGAGGGATAAAAGGAAAGGGTTTAAGAGGGTGAATGTGGTGGAAATATTATTTACAGATGTATGTAAATAAATAAATGAAATCTATTGAAACTATTCCAGGAATGGGGGGAGGATAAAGGAGAATGATGGAGGGAGCGAATATAGCTATGATATATTCTAAGTGCTTTGTAAACATAACAATGTACACCCAGTACAATAATAATAAAAAAAAGGTGAAAGGTCTTGAATTGGGATAAATAAGAGACATTATTACACTAAGACCTGGTAGTGGCCCCACTGTTAATCAGCTTTCCATCACTGTATCAAATACCAAGATAATCCTTTTATAAAAGAAGACATTTATTTTGACTTATTTGAAGGTTTTAGTCTGTGATTGGTTGGCTCATTGCTTTTGAGTCTACAGTGAGGTATCATATCATGGCAGAAACACATGGTGAAGCCAAAAAACTCACCTCATGGCCAGGAAGTGAATGAAAGAAAGAAAGTGCCAAGATTCCATGATCCTCTTTGGACACAGACTCTCTAGAATCTAAAGGCCTCATACTAAGCCCATCGCAAAGTCTCTACAACCTACTGATAGCAACGGGGTGATTTTATGTGGACCTCTGGGGGATACTTATCCAAGCTCTTGTAGTCCCCAAACCTGTGGTTATAAAAATTATTTAAAGAACTTTTTAAATATACTGCTTCCCAAGTCTCACCCCAGATCTACTAAAACAGAATCTCTAGAACTTCAATAATGATGAAATCCCAATTAAGAAAATTGTTTCATATCTTGGCTGATGCAGATTTTGTGTCAAAAATCATATATATTGCCTGCTTTGAATCCTTCAACACTGGCCCTAGTCCAAACTCAACACCTCATCTGTTTCCTTATACCCACTTTAAAGCTTCTATTCTCATTCCCAGTTATAATCTCATCACATGACTACTAGTACTTTTTCTAAAAATGTATTCCTTTAACTATCATATCCAAGTCTCCTAGTTTGACTGACTGCATTGGTCAACTCTAAATAGCTTTAAGATCAGGAATCACAAAAATCTGTATGCACTTCTTAAGTTAACTAATTTCTTTCCTATTAATTATTTCTGCATTGTTAATTGCTTTATGACACTGAAGAATAGAGGAAAAATAAGAGAAAAATGGTGGAGAGTGAGAAGAATGAGAGTGCTATGACAGATGGAGGTGTTGAGTTCAGGGATGTGCAGTTTATGCTGCAAGTTAGTATTTCTCCAAAAATGGCCAAAAGACCTAGAAGGTAACACACACACACACAGGAAATTAATGTGAGTCAACTCCTTGTATAGCTATCCTTATCTCAACCAGCAAAAACCCTTGGTCCTTCCTATTATTGCTTATACTCTCTCTACAACAAAATTAGAGATAAGGGCAAAATAGTTTCTGCCGGGTATTGAGGGGATGGGGGGGAGAGGGAGGGGGCAGAATGGGTGGTAAGGGAGGGAGTGGGGGCAGTGGGGAGAAATGACCCAAGCTTTGTATGTACATATGAATAATAAAACAATTAAAAAAATGGCCAAAAGATCATCTGTATAAAAATCACATCAAGTAGTGCCATTCTAAGTGA